TTTAATCCTCTACTGGCATTTATTTCTGGGCTAACTGAAAAAAAAATCACAGATTTTTGTCTTTCAGGATTATTACAAAGAACTGGAAGTTTATGTTCATTGATAAAATAATATTGAACTAAAGAAAAGAGTTAAATAGAAATAACAGCATTTCTTGCATTCAAAAAGAGATTTCAGTCAAATTAAATTACTCTCTAGTTATATCTATATAGTGTATATTTTTTCTGAGGTTTAGATCCAAACTTAAATTTGAATGATGAAAATATTATACAAACAGAAAATTACTGACCAGTTCTCAACATTGTTAATAACAAGACTAATAGAATGAATTCCCCATGTCCTCATCACTAGCTTCAATGATTCTCAATTTACTCTCTATCTTATTTCATTTATACCCCCATCCACTTCTCTACACCAAACTATTTTAATGAAAATATCAGAATCATATCATTTCACTTGGAATATTTATATGTATCTTTAAATGATGAACAGTCTTTAAAAAACATATCCATGATAATGGTAATATACTAAACAGTAATAATAATTCCTTGATGAGGTAGAAGTGGTACTTCTTTATCAAAGTCACTATTATTTTAAACCTTTGAAAATTTAATAACGTTATTGAAACAGTTGACATTAGATGATGTGAAGCAGTTACATTTTCAGTTTTTCTCATAGTGTAGAGAGTTGGATGTGTACCTGAATTATCAGAAGCCGTTGGCACTTGATCAAAGGTTTTCTGTTATGATGGGGTGAAAATATGTACCAGTGAAGGTCATTTCAAATTAGGCCTCAGGCTTCATTTCTTTCACGCGAAGAATGAGCCATATAAGATTTCATAAGTAATGATTCACAGGAAAGGAATCTTGGCTAAAGAGTAGATTGGTCACAATTAGCTTCCAGCAACAGTTTAGTGTCCTTACAGTTCTGTGGGCTCAGCTAAGAGATTCTCACCTGGAATCTCATGTCGTTGCTGGCAGGTGTCAGCTGGGCTGGAGTCACCTGAAAACTTAACGTGCCTGGATGTCCAGATGGATTGTTCTCTCACATGCCTGGCACTTCAGCTAGGATGGCTGAAACCACTAGGGGCTAGCTGGTGTCTCTCTC